ACACTAATGAAGATACACAAAAATAAAAAGTTTGTCTCTGTAAACTATTTAAATTGCATTGTGTAAAAAATTGAGGTTTTCACTGTTCAAAATACAAAAATGGTTTAAGTAAATATTGTTATTTAAGTTACGTTTTTAGAAGAGACATTATATAAATCATTTTCAAGCTTCAAACGCATATTAATTCTTATCAACCCATCATGGCATTAATGCAAAACTATTCATGGTTGTATAGTAACACTTAAAAATAGTACATATTTTTTAACTATAGAACTATAATATAACATATTTTTTAATTATAGTACTACAGATAGATGTTGGCAAACCAACAACCTTTCATAAACCCTTTCCTAGGTAAGGGATGGAACATTTTGTCTTTATTTCACTTTGTAAGATAAAGTTTTAGGGTTTAAGGTATGATTATTAGACCGAAGGTAGAAATAGTGTGCATATGTATATATAACATATACAATTTTCACAGAAATCTTAATTTCTAGGTCGTTATGTACAAGATGGCAGTCAATAGGAATTTGAATATGTTTTTATTATACTGTTAATCAATCCGAATGAAAGTATTTAATTATATCTTCCTGTTGCCCAACTGTATACAGGGTGATCATTTTATCATGAACCACTCAATATCATAAAGGATTTAATAAGAAATCACATTTTTTTCCTCATATTGTTTTTTTTAAATGTGACCTCTATTTTTCGCAATTGTTTTAGTTTTTACTAGTACCTTTTGAAAATTAATTGGTAACGTATATTTTTTTATTAATTTTTAAATTAAGAATATTTTTACTAAAAAATTTGACTGTTTGATAACCAGTTTTGAATAAATATTTTTGAAGTTATAAAAGTTTAAAAGTTATGACAAAAGGAGAAGTGCATGTAGATAAAAAAAATACTGCACTCCACCTTTTCTCCTGCCATAAATTTGAAACTTTAATAACATCAAAAATAGTTATCTAGTTTTGAATAACTATTTTTTCTGGTTATCGACCATTCAACATTTACATGGTTAAATATACATTATTCTCAATTTAAAAAGTTATAAGATAAATAAAAATTTCATTTATGACTATCGGAAATTTCTTAATTACTTTCGGTTTCATCAATTTCAGCACCACCAAGTCCTGTAACACACACACATTAAATCATTATAAGCATTATTCTCAATTTAAAAAGTTTATGGAAAATGTTCGTTCTTGTTCTGTGATTGTTTTGTACGGTATTATTCATATTCTATAATTAAGTCGATTAATTAGAATACATATATACTAAAGATTAGAGGAAGCCTATTTCTGGTTTACAATCGAAAACGAATTTTTTCGAATTGTAAACTTATTGTATTTTTTTTTTTTTTTACGATTTCAAAATCAAGTTTTTGATATTTGGACTGATTTTAGGTGACACAAAACCGATATTAACAATTACTTTTGTTTGCAATGTACAGCCGAGTTTTAAAAAATGCTTACCCAGGTTGCATCTATATACAACTACAATATACTAAGACTCGTTTGATAAGAACAACTTAACGGCGAATAGAAATTTTTTAACAATATTACTTGTCTCTGATAAATATTTCCACTATGACTTATTGTTACCAAATAAATTGTATATAAAACTAAAATGTCAGTCCAGTGAAAATATGGCATATTGGAGACAAAGCAAATTTAGGCGGGGAAGATCACCGGCGTATTTGAATTACCTATTTTATTATTAAACCTAACTTAATTTAAAAATCGACTACGGTTAGCAAATAATTTGAACCAAAAACCCTTTAGAGTTAATGGGAAGATGGAATCAATTAATTGGGTAAATTTATTAGGAAAACAAATGTATTAGATATAATAAGTTATAGTTATTACAATAATATAAATCGCTAAATAGGGTATTCATTTTTTAAATTAAGAAATCAAAAGTTGTGAAAAATATTTTTAAAATATCAATATTTTTTTTCCCCCAAAAAACTTATAAGGGCCAAAAATCTTGAAGAGTATTGACGCAATTATTGAATAAGTTTGATTAATTAATTTTAAAACAAAATATTTTACTTAGGATTTTTTAGTATTTAATATCAACTGATTATACTTACTATTATTATCTCCTTCATCAACTACGCCCTCACTTCCTTCTACTGTTGTCGGAGCTAAACAAAATGATTAAGTGGTTCTTAAAGAAAAGGACTAAGCTTATAATCTTTATACATATATAATTTTGCCTGCCTTGATACGTAACTTTTTTTTCTTTAATTTGTAAAATTTTGATCGGATTGTAAGATAATAACTAAAATTGATAATATTGAAACTACCTTTACTATTTAGCAACAAGTAATAATAATAAGATCAAAATTTTATAATTTATGTGTGTTGTTTTGTTTCATTTAAAAAGAGAAATTATTAGGTGTGATGCAAAGCTGAGAAAGTATTGCTTTTATAATGTTTTGTAATTTATATTTGTATTTGCACACACGATATTTCGCATAATAGATATATTATGCAGTAGGTTTTATAGATTAAATCAGAAGTCTTGCTGAAAGAAATTATTTTGTCTCAAAGAATTAGAACTAAATGATTTACCTTATTCCCATCAAATTGATAGATGAGAGATAATGTTTTATCTCTTTTTTTGTATTTAATCTATTATCTCTAACTTCCCCCTCCTTTCTCCACCACTGCGGAGCGTGGCGCCAGAGTGTGACAGCCAGTGATAAAACATATACATATTAAAATATTTTACCTAATATGGTTTTAGAACCCCTGAACCTAATACATAACAATTTAATTTATGTGTATGTTGAAAATAACCCGAATCGATATCTATTTTGTTAAACTAGTAATCATGTCATTGTATATACCATCTTTATAATATACCGATAATTAATATCGTCTCGGCAGAGGAAAAATCACCCGACTGTGTATTGTGTTTTTTTTAAATTAATTATTCAAAACTGAAGTATCATTTTTTATTATTGTGTTTGAACAAATTGAATTAATTACGATTAGCCGTGGGCATATTATGCTAATATATAACAATTTTAAATTTAACTGCGCGTATACAGCTTAAAATTACACGATGGAGGTGCAACGAAAAAAAGTGTACTGCTAAATTGTACATATTAAGATAAAAGTATTAAAAACATTTTAAAGTATTACCTTTATAACATTTACAGGAGTTACCTCCATCAACAAATGATACAATAAAATTAGAAAACGATATTAGGAAAATAATAGATTTCATCTTTAGAACTTTTTGTTTTTTACACGTATGCAAAAGTTTAAATAATTTCAATAGAATGGATTTCACGTTTGAACTTGCCGATTTCAGTGTACCTCTTTTAGTGTTTAGCGAACAAAAACTTCACCACAGACGGAAAATTCAATAACTGTCAAATACATAATAAATTGCAATGTACATCTAACATTATTTGTTTTTCGCCTCTGCCAGCTGAACGTATCAAGGCAAGCGCTCCTACTTTACTCGATTTTTTTAGTGTTTAACAGTGAGTTTTTTAAGAATATTTTCTAATTACCCTAAACAGTACGTGCTTAAATTCAAAACGCTTGCTTTCGTCTAATAAATAACAAGACAAGATAATGTCTTAAATCTCGATTTTAATTTGAGCTTCGTTGCGGAGCAGCGATGCTATTGGTTTTACAATGATGTGGGTTTTTTTTTGTCTGTATACACTGTAACTTTTTCAATGTATTTAACACACCAAGTCATCAGAAATTTTATTACTAAAAACAATATTTCTATAAACCTGTCTTTTCCGAGGGATTCCAATATTATTTTTATTAACGAAAACAACAGGTTTATTATTTTTCTAGGTCTACGTGATATTTATACTAAACCATTGGACGATAAATTTATTTTTCTCGTTTTCACGGAATTACAAGATTTTTGTATTATTATTTAACTTACGCAAATACACACTCTCGCTGTAGATGGCTTATCTACTGTCACATCTCATACACGTATCTGTTCAATGCTTTTTTTTATTTTTAAACCAACTGACATAGTTGTTCACGTTCATAGTGATTATTCATGCTTAGCTGAGGATAAACATAATCTAATATCCGAATATCATAACTCGCTTACCGGATGTCATTCGGAAACATCGCATACTATAAAACTTCGTTTTTCACGTTTTTCCATGAGTATGATATTATACTCATGGAAAAACGTGAAAAACGAAGTAAAAGAATTTATTAAGGCATGTAAAACTTGCCAGAAAAATGAACGTAACAAAAAGTTTAAACAAAAAATGATAGAGATTGGGTTTTCCTGTTTCGAGCAGTATACCTGTTCTAAATTATTTTAACTGGTACTTAAGTAACAACGTACAGTACTGTACTTACTTTTGCGCTGGATTGAACCGTACTTGATTTAAACTGGACTAGTTTATTTATTAATTCGTATTCAAGTGAACAATTAGGATTATGAAAATTGTGCAAAGTTACACTAAAAATGTAACTGAACAATTAGTATTAAAAATATATACATTATGATAAAAAAAAGACATGATAATACTGATAACAGTTGTGTATAATTAAAGTATAAACAAATATACACATATATATATATTTACATGTGATTGTAGTTTTATAATTTATATAAACGTTTTATATTATATTTAATAAAAACAATTACATATATATTATTATGTTTTATAAACCCTTGTTAGCAAAAGCCATTGGAAATTTTATTTTTACAGTTTTTTAAATAATTATATTTTAACAATATTGAACATAATTTAGTGTAAACAGAGCTGAATTAGACATTAGGCATTGATTCGTGGTCTAAATTATTCTAATTGCTCCACAAGTGCTTGAAATACATTGTTTCGCTTTACTTGCACCCATGTGCCAGCATTATATGTGTATTTTATCATACTTAGTTCATGTAATAAAATACAAGTACGTTTACTGAAATCAATCTTAACCATGGTTGTAAACGATGATGGAAATTGTGTACTTATGAATAATCCCATCAAACGACACATCCGTTCTACAGCGGGATCATCCGGTACAACTTGTGCGTGTTCATCTAAAAAATGAATAAAATATTTTTCATTTTTTATTTGCTAAATTTAGCTTATTAGTTACTACTTATTTTATGGTGCAGCACACAAATATCTTAATTTGTTTAAATAATCTCATAAAAAAAAAATAGAATATAAATGTTGTCCTTCTTGTAAATATATTATAAATTCATAACCATTACAAATCCATATTGATATTTACCTAAAACACGTCGGATTATATTTTTTATAGCTGGTCCAGTACAGTCTCTTCTCGTCTGTGCAATGGTTTCTATGTCTTTTAAAATCAACAAAAAAAATTATTAAATGACCGTATTAAGAAAGAAAAAATATTTTTATTGCTTAAATAACTATTGTACCACATTTTAAAGAATACAAATAATTGCAGTGATACAACTAATTTGTTTTACAACTAGGCATTACTCTTTCAACTCGAAGAATTTATTTTTTCTATATTTCTTAAACCACAAAGAACGTATATTTACACATTAACATTCTAGTCCATTCGTCAGTGACCTGGACAAAGAGGCAACAGGAGGCTGTGCGGCTTACCGCAAAGCAACAAAGGCATTGGAGGAAAAACAGAGAAGGAGATAATTAAAATAGTATTTGTAAATAGTTAAAACGCGAGCCTGCCCTGCTAAGAGGGAAACATGAATTTTGTGTAAAATAATTGTGAAAACAATAAAAGATGCCCACTAGGGAAAAAGTTATGCGAGAACGGTACCCTATGACTCTATTCGTGCGATTTTAACGGGGAAAAATACAAGAAAGAAAAAAAGGTTAACGAGGAGCGAAAATATTCAGTGTGTGACCTAAGAAGAAAATATTTACATCCGTGGCGTATTCAATTTTCAGGCTGTATATGTATAATTATTTAATAAAATAATTATTAAACAATTATTGTTTGACACAAAAGATTTAGTTAACAAAATTAAGCAAATTTCTAATCTAAAACAAGCAACGCCATTTACGACTATAGGAAAATTCGTTATTACTTTCGGTTTCATCAATTTCAGTATCACCAAGTCCTGTAACAAACACGTCAAATCACTTATAAAACCCGGTTCAGGGAAAGATACGGTGGGTTAGGTTAGGTTATTTATTGTAATTATTTTATCTGATGTAATACTAAATAACAATTATAAAGTGCGGTGGATTTGAATTTGCGATCATGGAGTCGATTCAGATGTTCTACTCCGTAGAACATTTATGTTCTATATTTACTTTTACTACAGAAAAATAGTTTTTGTACAATACATAATTGTATTGTACATATTTAAATTGTTAATAAGACACATTTAAATCCCCCCCTTTATATTCAAATGTATCCCATAACAGAGGTAGATTTGAATAAAAATAAATATTTATAAATTATAAAGTATAAATTACTTGATTGGTAAGGTTAGGAAAAGTATTATAATATGTACAAAACTGAAAACTACGGATTGGATCTCCCAAACTTGAAATTTTCCATAATATTAAATTAGGGAAAATAATGATATGACTTAATTTAAATTTACCCCATCTTCCTCTATATATATTTTTTATCGCAGTCACTCTAAAATTGAGATTAACTATAGCAATTAATTATTGCAAAATAGTATTGTATAAATGTTTAATAATTTCTAATAGCAACATTTGAAGAAATATTAGAGGAAGATAGGGTGGATTTTAATGCGGAGTACATTTGAATAATGCTGATAAAACTATTTTCACTGGGCTAGAAATAACGAGAAAAAAATATTTTATGTAATCACGCTGTTTGAAGTACTGTTAGTGTTATCAGCAGATTCTGATTCTAGACTGATTATAAAATAAATAAAAATGTTATTTTTAATTATCAGAAATCCGTAATTACTTTCGGTTTCATCAATTTCAGAACCACCAAGTCCTGTAACACACATTAAATCATTATAAACTTATAAAACCCGATTTAGGGGAGGATAGGGTGAATTTGAATGAGGGGTACATTTGATATATGCTGATAAAATTATTTTCACTGGACTAAAATTTACGAGAAAAAAATATTTTAAGTAATCACGCAGTTTGAAGTATTGTTAGTTTTATCAGCGGATGATGATTTCAGACTGATTATAAGATAAATAAAAGTGTTTTTTACGACTGTAGGAAAATTCGTTATTACTTTCGGTTTCTTCAATTTCAAGATCGCCAAGTCCTGTAACACACACACATCAAATTATTAAAACCTTATAAAACACGATTCAGGGGAAGATAGGATGAATTTGAATGAGGGGTACATTTGATATATGCTGATAAAATTATTTTCACTGGACTGAAATTTACGAGAAAAAAATATTTTAAGTAATCACGCTGTTTGAAGTATTGTTAATGTTATCAGCGGATTCTGATTTCAGACTGATCATAAGATAAATAAAAATGTCATTTTTAACTATCGGAAATCTCGTAATTACTTTCGGTTTCATCAATTTCAGAACCAATAAGTCCTGTAACACACACACATTGAATCATTATAAACTTATAAAACACGATTCAGGGGAGGATAGGATGAATTTGAATGCGAGGTACATTTGAATAATGCTGATAAAACTATTTTCACTGGGCTAGAAATAACGAGAAAAAAATATTTTATGTAATCACGCTGTTTGAAGTACTGTTAGTGTTATCAGCAGATTCTGATTCTAGACTGATTATAAAATAAATAAAAATGTTATTTTTAATTATCAGAAATCCCGTAATTACTTTCGGTTTCATCAATTTCAGAACCACCAAGTCCTGTAACACACATTAAATCATTATAAACTTATAAAACCCGATTTAGGGGAGGATAGGGTGAATTTGAATGAGGGGTACATTTGATATATGCTGATAAAATTATTTTCACTGGACTAAAATTTACGAGAAAAAAATATTTTAAGTAATCACGCAGTTTGAAGTATTGTTAGTTTTATCAGCGGATGATGATTTCAGACTGATTATAAGATAAATAAAAGTGTTTTTTACGACTGTAGGAAAATTCGTTATTACTTTCGGTTTCTTCAATTTCAAGATCGCCAAGTCCTGTAACACACACACATCAAATTATTAAAACCTTATAAAACACGATTCAGGGGAAGATAGGATGAATTTGAATGAGGGGTACATTTGATATATGCTGATAAAATTATTTTCACTGGACTGAAATTTACGAGAAAAAAATATTTTAAGTAATCACGCTGTTTGAAGTATTGTTAATGTTATCAGCGGATTCTGATTTCAGACTGATCATAAGATAAATAAAAATGTCATTTTTAACTATCGGAAATCTCGTAATTACTTTCGGTTTCATCAATTTCAGAACCAATAAGTCCTGTAACACACACACATTGAATCATTATAAACTTATAAAACACGATTCAGGGGAGGATAGGATGAATTTGAATGCGAGGTACATTTGAATAATGCTGATAAAACTATTTTCACTGAACTAAAATTTACGAGAAAAAAATATTTTAAGTAATCACGCAGTTTGAAGTATTGTTAGTGTTATCAGCGGATGCTTATTTCAAACTGATTATGTAATAAATAAAAATGTCATTTATGACTATCGGAAATCTAGTAGTTACTTTCTGTTTCACCAATTTTAAAATCGCCAAGTCCTGTAATACACACACACATCAAATCATTAGAAACTTATAAAACACGATTCAGGGTAGGAGAGGATGAATTTGAATGCGGGGTACATTTTAATTATGCTGATAAAACTGTTTTCACTGTACTGAAATTTACGAGAAAAAAATATTTTAAGTAATCACGCAGTTTGAAGTTTAACACTAACAATTATCTCAGAATTATAATTTCAAACTGATTATGTGATAAATAAAAATGCCTTGTACGACTATCAGAAAAATCGCAATTACTTCTGATTTCTTCAATTTCAGTATCGCTAAGTCCTGTAACAAATACATAAAATCAATTATGTAGTTGATAAACCTTAGTATAGGGGTAGACAGTGTGGATTTTAATGCTGGGTAGAAATAATGTTGATAAAACCATTTTAACTGTACTGAAAATATCGATAAAAAACAGTCACGCTGTTTGAAGTATTGGTTTGTGTTATCAGCGGTAAAATAATAATGTCATTCATGGTGTTTTTTTTTTACTTTCGCATGAATTTATTTACTCACAAATTCGTTAATCTTAAGTACATAATGATGTATTGAAATTCAAAATTTGGTTTTCTATCAATATATCTACCAACGTTGATTTATTGTAATTATTTTATCTGGTGTAATACTATATATTAACAATTATAAAGTGTGTGGGCTCTGAATTTGCGATAACAGGTTCAATTTGAATATTCACCCCCGAAGAATATTTATAGTTCTGTAATTGCTTTAAATACAGAGAAATTGTTTTATACATAAAAATAAATTGTATTGTACTCGTACATTTTTAAATATACCAATAAGACACATACAAATCTGCCCATAAAAAGGGTAGATTTCAAATAAATATAAAGATGTATTTAGACATTTATAGGTTATAAATGACTTGTTTAGTGAGGTTGGGAATGTGTATATTATACAACTTTAAACTACAGGTCGGAACTCCCAAACTTTAAATTAAATGAAGGGAAATAATGATATGATTGAATTTAAATGTACCTCGTCCACCGTTATACATTTTATATATTACAGTCACTTAATTAATTAATTATCAAAGAAAAATATTATTGTGTAGTATTTCTAGAAGCAATACTTGAAGAAACAGTTTATATATTACATTTCGAATGATCTTCAAAAACTTAAGCATAAAACATCTATAGCTTTATGACTTTAAGCTTTTAATCGACTTTTTTTGCTACAAACTAGTATAATGTTAATTTTTATAAATTCTTTGTTTACCTAATACAGTTGATATTTTAAGTCCCATATCTTTCTGATAATTCTTCAACCCTGAAATTTATTGTTTATGATTGAAACCAAAATTTCTCATTGGTATATTTCAATAGATACATATGATTCTCCTCAAAATATTTATAAATAATGACTTTGCGTAAAGTATACTGAATATGAAATATAAAAATGGGGTTACTCGTTTTATTATCATCGTGTCCACTGTAATCTAAAAAAAAAGTCTTGTTTGCATTAAGAATATTAAACCGCTGCTTGGAAACAGTTCCATAATAGGCAATGCAAATTATTACGTATATGAGTGAGAATATCCGTTTTATCTGAAATTGACATTACATAAATTAATGATATTGCATTTAGTTTTCTATTATATTATAAACAGGAAAACGAGGAAGCTAGTGGTAGGAAAAAAGCATGTGTATTAGTAACTCGGAAGAAATGTGCTCAACTGTATATTCAATACGATGGGAATCAAATATATAAATATTTGCATAAAATTCAACAAAAGCTATTACCCGGTACAGCGATCATTAAATTCATTATGCCTGAAATTAACATTAAATAAATTAATGATATTGAATTGTATTTTCTATTACAAATCAATACATTATATAATTATAAATTAGAAGACAAAGTTCAAAGTAGGAAAAATCATATTGAATAGACTAAGTAATATTTAGAAAAATATAATAGTTGAATTGAAGTAATTGTGGCGATATGAGATAACTTTAGTATTTTTCATAAAGATTCCATTTAGGTTTCATAGAAAAATCTAATATTTATGTCACTTATCAATTGCACAATGATAAATTTTAGTTGCAATTTTTATGTTTTTTTTAAAAAAAAATTTGTATTTTTATCTTTATTTTATAATTTTATTTGTATTGTTATTAATATTATAATTAAAACTACCGAATTCATCGTAATGAATGATATCATCAACCATTATTTCAATTACATGCTCCAATCCATCTAGAAAAAAATAATTGGACTATACAGTAAGAATAATAATAGATTGTTTATCTATTATATCTATAGTAGAATAATAAGATTGAAATAAACCAAATTAAGTACAATACAAATCTTTAGAATGATAAACCCTGCTTTGAGCAGTAGCCATTTGACGCTACTTTTACGATTAGGTTATTAGAAAT